AAGTCCTGGTTTCTTTCCTCATATTTTGTGTACAGATATGATTGACTATTGTACTAAACATTTAACGAAGTTCCTCCCACACCAATCCTTACTTCGGAAAGGAAAAATCGGGCATGTAACCATTAGTACTCACTACTCAAATTGTTCTGAGCATAGGGATAATTACAGACTTGTATAGGGTTGTTCTTACTTATTTCTATATTGTAATTTGAAAGTTGCAAGTCTCATACAAAATGTGGAACATTTCATGCAACCAGCAAGTGAATCAATCAGTGAAAAGTAATCAGGAGTTTGCTCTGTAACTCACTGTAACTAAAGTATTAATCATATCGTTACATCATTTATATAAGCAGGCGGATCATTTGTTATGTTCTTCCAATCACAACATGGTTGTCTGCATAGTACAAACTCATAAATAGATTATCAAATTTTATTATAAAGTTAGACTGGCTTAGATTGGTGTTATTGTCCAACTACTGAACAGAGAATGTGTCAAGGTTAGCGATTATCACAATCTCTGGAAGTCTAATTGTCTGATGGACGACCTTGATTTTTGCTAATCAGTTAACCAATGCAACCTAGGATTTAGCCTCCAAACTTCTTCGAAATAGAGAAGAATCTGGTAGGGAGCACTATTTTAAAAGCCTCCAAACTTCTTCGAAAGAGAGAAGAATCTGCTAAGCAGTTTCCACAAATAATGCTTGTGCATATGCAATAAGTAAAATTCATTAGTATTGCTGTCAATATCTTATCGCTTGTAATATGTATATATGTTGATCCACACACCAGTACATATTATGCATATAAGTTAATAAGAGGCCAAGAAAGTGATTTATTCTTCTAGCCTGAATATCAACTTAGATTATGATTGCCCTCTTTAAAAAATAGTTGCTAATCTGTGTCTCAGACAATCAACATTCAAATATTTCATGAACTGGGTTTTGTAATATGTATATATGTTGATCCACACACAACCATACATAGTATGCATCCAAGTTAATAAGAGGCAAAGAAAGTGATTTATTCTTCTAACCTGAATGTCAACTTAGATTATGATTGCCCTCTTTAAAAAATAGTTGCTAATCTATGTCTAAGACAATCAACATGAAAATATTTCATGAACTGGGTTATTTGTTAGTCCATTTATTCAATAAAATACTTCTTAGTGCTTCTACTGAGAAAACTCTTGCTTTTTTAGTGTGCAATTCTTTTTCGAATTGGCAAGGGAGGCTTCAGAGTTACCAAGATGTTTCAGCTCAAGAGTAAGACGTCTGCTCAATCTCCATGTTGATCCTGGAGATATTCAGAAATATATGTGGAAACTACGACATTGCTTCACAGAGATGATCAGCAAGTCATGGTTCAAGAAGGAAGCTTTTACTTGATTATGTTACCATGAATGCTATTGCTATTCAAAAGATATTAAAGAAGTATGACAAAGTAAGTAATTCAATACTTATTGTGTTCCAGATAACTATTGTGTAAATTCTTACGTTATTAGTTTAATATATGGCAGGTACATGGGTCTGTTATTGGCAGAAATTTTATGACTGAAATGCATGATAAGAGGAATGAACTTTTGCAGTCACAAAGGCTAATTGAACTAGGTGCATTTTATGTAAACTTTAAGGGGTCGAGCATTGGAGAAGCTAGAGAATTTTCCAGATAATTCTATTGTGATTTAAGTGGTACACAAACTGTAATGTCTATGAACTTTTCTGACCCCATTAAGTATGAGTACAGTCTTACATTTGCTATTTGCCTGGAAAGATATTTGCTTCCATTCTTCATAATGTTATATGTTTACAGTTCTGCGCTTTATCTAATTTAAGAAAAATATTATAGTATCCCATTTCAATAATCCAAATATTCAGTAATTTTGAAATACAGGGCTATTTGTAGGAGGATTTTCATGTCCTTCTCTTTTCTAAAACCACATTTGTTACTTCAATACTTGTCTGCAAATTTATTTTGATGATGAATTTAACGTTTTTTTCAAAGGCATATGATGAATATCCTCTGGTTACATGAATAAAGTAATATTTGGAAAATACTTATGTCCATAACAATCTGGAAGCCTAGCTGGTTGATGGTTGGAATGGAAATTTTCTATTCGATTTGATATCAAATTTGCATTCAAGTTTAATTTTAAGATTATGTCTATATGTTTGATCCATTGTTTACATTCAATAATTTATTAACAATATTTTCCGAATTAAAATTATACATTTATAATAAATATATATATATATATATATATATATATAGAGAGAGAGAGAGAGAGAGAGAGAGAGAAACTTATGTCAACTTAAGTGGACCATCCATCAAAGTTTCTATCCATTGATGAGAAGTCTCTTCATATGATGCATGGATCTCTAGGTATCATCAATGGATAGAAACATTGGTGGATGGTCCACTTAAGTTGACATAAGTTTTTCTCTGTATGTGTGTGTGTGTGTGTGTGTGTGTGTGTGTTGTGTGTGTGTGAAGCCTAACTGGATAGGATGATATTTTCTTTTCAATTTCTGTTAGGATTCTATCTTAAAATTTGTTAATATCCCTTTTAAATTGGATTCTATCTCTTACTAATTTAGTAATTTTGATTAAATAAGGACTCCTCATATTTGAATTAAATGAACTAATCCTAAGCCTTTTAAAACTAAAAAAAATTCATAGCACAACAACAACAAAAAAATTGGGCTCACGCACTCGGTTGAAAAAAACCGAGCAAGTAAGCCAAGGGGGGCAATTTGTAGACGCAAAAAAAATTATGTATCAACAAGCCCTATAAATAAAACTTATTGTGAGGATGATAATACCTCATAAAAATCAAAAGTAATGTGAGAGATAGTACCTCATATAAATCTAAACCAATGAAGGTAGGCCCTTTGTATTAATTATTTCAGAGAGACACGCCTTCCCTTTGTGGTTGTCAAAGTTGATGAGCTCAACAAACCTTGTCAATAAAACTAATATGATGGATAGCACTTCATATAAATCTAAACCAATGAAGGTAAGCCCTCCATATTAATTAATTTAGAGAGGCATGTCTTTCCCTTGTAGTTGTCAAATTTGATGAGCTCAACAAACCTTATCAACTTAATGTGAGGGATAGTACCTCATATAAATCAAAATCAATGTGAGGGATAGTACCTCATCTAAATGAAAATCAACTTGAGAATGATAGCACCTCATGTAAGTTTGAGAGTACATGTACCCTCTATTAATCCAATATAAAAAAACATGCCTCCCCCTTCATATTGGTTTTCTAAAGGACACAAAACACCTTCAAGTTGAAGAACAACTTGCTATGTTTCTTTGCATAGTGGGTCATAAAAACAAAATTAGAGTAATAAGGACCGAATTCATAAGATCGGGTGAAACGGTTAGTAGGTACTTTAATAAGATCCTACAAGCTATGAATGGTCTTCGTGATCGATACATGAAGCAAGCACCTAATGAGATTCAACCGGAGATTGCCAACAATCCAAACTATTTTCCTTACTTCAAGGTAAGAGAGAAATAAATTGTTTGAGTTAGTGATTTTCATAATTTAATGATATGAGATACTAATAATTTCAATCATTGTCGAGTTTTGATAGGATTGTATTGGTATGATAGATAAAACACATATTGATGCAATGTTATCCTCTAATCTAGTTGCATGGTTTAGAGGGCGTAAATGTGTAACACAAAATGTTTAAGCTGCATGCACTCCAAATAAACTTTTCACATATGTCCTAACTGGATGGGAAGGTGCGGCGAATGACTATAGGATTTTGCAAGACGCGTTATCTAGACCACAACCTTATGGATTGAGAGTATATGATGGTATTCTTCCACCTCAATTAATAAATAGTAAATTAAATAATATGATCAAACTGATCACAAATTTTTATTTTATAATGTAGGCAAATATTATCTTTGTGATGATGGATACACTACCATGTCTGGCTTCATCTCTCCACACTGTGGCGCTTGTTATCACTTAAAGGAACAAATTGGTAGGACACCCAGAAATAGTAGGAGTTATTCAATTTAAGACACTCTTCTTTACGGTCTAAAATTGAACCAACCTTTGGCACATTGAAGAATCGGTTCAGAATTCTTTTGGCGAAGCCTGATTATCCATTCCCCACGCAAGTGGACATCGTCTTAGCATATACTATATTACATAATTTTATTGCAATTAAAGATCCGCAAGATGATATCTTGAATGAGAATGTACTAATTGATGAGGAAAATGAGGATGTGACAAACGAATATGATACAGACGTAGTTGACTTCACTCAATCTAGGACACAAAGAGAGGAGCGTGATTCAAGAAATGAATGGAAGGACCTTAGGGACCAAATTGCATGGGCAATGTGGGTTGATTATTGTGCAAAATATAAAGATGGCGACACCATAGAAAATGGCTTGTAGTTTTATTGTTTTTGCATATTTCAAACTATATTTTAATATTTTATAATTGTGCTTGTATGAACAATGTAATTTCTCATATTTAATTATGTATTTTTTATTTCATAATTGCACTTGTACGGATAATGTAATTGTTCACATATTGCAGCTATGTAATTCTAAATTTCTGGTTTGTTTTTATTATACCACATAGGTATGTCTAACAAAAAGGGAGGAAAAGAAGATTTGTCCAATTCACCACATGCACCACCAATGGATTCAGGCGATATTAATGTGAATTTTGTTCCATATCCAAATCAATCGTTCAATCCGCCTCATATAATGCCGCCTTCTTTCCCACATCTCCCACTGTTTGAAGGGAACTACAGTGGAATGAGCCAACAACATGTTTCATTCACTAATTTTTTGAATAGTCCCCAAGGCTTGTATAATCCCACTTTGAGTTCTCAAAGCAGTGGTCCACAACAAATGTCACCAACCACCGTGAATCTGGTGGACATTAAAACAATGTCATTAATTTGAGTCAAGAGGTGTCGTCACCCTCCAAAAAAACCCAAAAAATGACTCAAAAGAGAAAAATGCCTACAACACAAGGAGCTCCTAGCCTCAATTCGAAGGGGGTTTCCAACATGTGGTGGCTCCCCGAGCATGATGCGGAGCTTATACCGTGTCTTACGGAGCTGGCGGATGCCGGAATGAAGGTTGATAAAAACTTCAAAGCTGAGGCTTACAAAATAACAGCTATGAAGATGAACATGAAATTCAAAACTAGCTACACTCACCTTCATGTGATTAATCGCATGAAAACTTGGAGAAACAAATTCAATGATATGAAAGCTTGCATCAACATAAGTGGTGCGAGGTGGGATGAGGAAAACTGTATGGTAATCCTAGATGAGGAGACACTTAAAATATGGGTCAGGTATTAATTCTATCATAACAACACATTTTAATTTATTTGGACATGAGAAGGTTATAATTAATTTCACACAATATTTTTCACATATTATAGGACAAAAGGAATTCAAAGCTAAGAGGATATATAAACAAGTCTCTTCCCTTCTACAAACATTTACAGAAGATCATGGGTGATGATTAAGCTAGGGGTGATTTTGTTAGACCAGATTATGATAAGATTGATACTAACAACGTTATTCCTCTTGATGATGATGATATGGACATTCCACTTGAGAGTGAAGTTGAGCCATGTAGGCAATAAAAATTGCCTTTAATCCCTATCAGAGAAGTTTAGAACAAAACTGCTAAAACCTCGCCCAAAATAGCAGAAAAAGGAAAAAAACGCAGATATCTCTCAAATCATAAGGAATTTGGAAAAACAAAGGAAGCAAACCGAACCCTTTGGGTTGGTTTGGTTGGCTCCGTCTCGTCGAGATAGTCGATTTTCATATATAATTCGTCCAATTCCGACTTACGGTTTGAAAGTTACGACCTGTTCTTCGATGCATGTTCTGAAGCTCGCCTATAAAGGCTGAGACTCGCCTGTAAAGGCTGAAGCTCGCCTACAAGGAGGTCTGTCTACAGGGCTAGAGCTCGCCTAACAGCTTGCCTATATAGCTCAGCCCGCCTGACAGCATTGAAGCCCTTCCTCTAGTGCAACTCGCCTACATAGCTCAGCTCGCCAGCAGACCCAAGTCCGCCTGCAGTTCGCCTACGCGAGCAAACTCGCCTGCAGACCCAAGTCCGTCTGCAGACTCAGATCTCCTGCAGACCTAAGCCTGCCTGTAGTTCGCCTATGCGAGAAAACTCGTGCAGTTCGCCTACGCGAGCAAACTTGCCTGCAGACCAAAGCCCGCCTGCAGACCCAATCTCGCCTGCAGACCCAAGTCCACCTGCAGACTCGCCAGCTCACTGTCAACTGCCCACTTGGAGTATGGGAACAGTCCCATCAGTGGCCATATCCTACGTTTCAAGGGAGAAAGCATGGCATTCCTCACCTGGGTACTAGGTACAGCCAGGGACGGCTACAAGAATAGGGCGGCTGGCTCCCTCACCCCTACTAGTGGTCAAATCCCACAAATCAAGGGATGGCCCATGCCATCCCTTGCATATTTAAAGCCATCTTCAGCCAACATGAAGAGGGGATTGGCTGCTGCTTACTCGGTTGGCTAATCTTCCAAAGGTTGAACATTGGCTTTTGCTAAAGGCTCCCTCATTTGAAGAGACTTGTCAAAACTCTCCGACTTGAGGCTCTCGGGTAGACTCGAACCCACTTACATCGAACCTTCTACTGAGAACTGAAGCTCCAGCAGCAACTTCGATCGGATAGTCCAAGGGAAGCAAACTCGGCACAAGCACCGAGGCAGGCGTCCTATCGCTACCGAAAGTCCCCACGTTAAACAAGGAGGGCATTCCCTCCGTTTCTGTTGTAATTTCGATTCATTAGTTTGTAATAAGCTGTTCTTATAAATACAAACAAAATCCCTGTTTCGGGAGATCAAAATTTACACCTACAAGCCACAGTCTGATGCTAACACTACCCCAAACTCCACTTCTAGAAAATCCCAACGTGAATCTAAGACAAAGGCATCTTCAAGCAAGAGACCTCAACACTCCAATGATGATGAGTTGATACGTAGCTTTGATGAGTCAATGTCGGAGTCAATTAGAAATCAACACATTATACATTAGACTAAACAATTAGCTGCAGCTTTGAAGAAGCATAGTGACTCCTATAGTGACAAGTTGCTTAATAAGGTTTTAGATCATTTGTATGAAAGTGAGCGTGAGGCTAGGAGGTTTTTTATAAAAACGAAGGAGGCTCAGAAGAGGTTTCTTGCAAGTCTTGCGGCGGCTCAAGGATGAGACACGTCATAGTGTTTTGTTGTTCTGTGCACACAACACTCAATTTTGCTACTTCACATGTTTTGTTACTATTCCCTCACAAACTTATTTTGTTAATTGCAAACTTTAGATGTTGCAATTCATGTTGTTATTTTCTAAATACCTACACTAACTTATATTTTGTGTATTACAAAGTTGATGATGTTGCAATTCATGTTGCTAGTTGTTTTTGTTTAGCTCTCTATTGTTGGGTTTTTTGGTCGATATTTATGCTCGTTGTCGAGCTTTGGGGCTGTTTTTTCTAGTTGGTATGCTGATTCGAGCTTGTTTAGCTCTATATTGTTGGGTTTTTTGGTCGATCTTTGTGCTCGTTGTCGAGCTTTGGTGCTGTTTTTTCTAGTTAGTATGCTGATTAGAGTTTGTTTAGCTCTATATTGTTGGGTTTTTTTGTTGATATTTGTGCTTGTTGTCGAGCGTTGGGGTTGTTTTTCCAGTTATTATCCTGATTAGGGCTTGTTTAGCTCTATATTGTCGGCCGCCTCGAGCATGGTCAGGCTAGGGATTTGGGTGGTAATGGTTTGATACGTGCGCGAAGGTGATTTTAGGAGTACTTCTGCAGAGGTTGCAAGTTATCATTAAAGCAATTATGCTGTAGTAGGTTCAGATTATCTTGTGCATACGGATTTGTGTGAGTTTTATGATATTTTGGTGCTCCAATAGATGTGGAGATATAATGACATGTGATGTTGTAGTTGATGTCATGAACTGCTGCGGTGAACAATTAGCAAGATGCTTAACATTGTATCTTGGTAAGAATGGCTCTCAGCTTTTTAATGGAGAGCCTAGAAATACCTAGTTAAAGTCTGATTAATGGGAATTATTTCTTATTCACTGCTATACTTTTCAGCAGTGCAAAATTCGGTTGCAAACTTTTGTATATGTGCATAGTTAATGATGGAAGTATTTTATAAGATTTAATAATGCGAAACAAAACGGTAAACTAGCCATTAAAGTGATAAATATGGTAATTGGCAATTTTTTATAAATTTGGCATATGTAACCAAACAAAAGAAAAAAAATCTTGCTATTTTCTATAAAGTGAGTCATTTTTTTGTTTTGAACCAAACAAGTAAAGTAAAAAAAACAAAAAAAATTTAATACATTTTGACTTCTCAAAATCTTTTCTATACCTTTTTAAAAAATAAAAAAAATAAGTGAAAAATATTTCTTATAATTTCTAGAAATTAAACCAAACATCAGCTAAGGTCATATAGGAGGAAACGAACACCCCCTAAGGGGGTGTTAGTCAATTTGGACATTTTCATGCAAAATGGGATAATTGTTAAAGTAGAATAATATTTCGCTAGTGGGATATTTTAGTGGGATAACTAGGAACAATTTTGTGAAGCAGGATATTTTGATAAAATAACGTGGGATAAATTTTTATAATCATGAAGTATATATTTATGCATTTTGAAGATATAAATACTATTTATGTATCTTAAACTTACTATTATTAATTGATAATTGCTTACAAGAATGTTCGTTACTATTAAATAACTTTTGGTTAGACTATAAGATATTGACAATTATTATTATGATGATGGTCTAATGATGGTGATAACCATAATAGGAAATAAGTAAAAAAAATAAAAAATAACAAAATAAATACGAGTTCTAGTTTTTTACCACATAGTTCCAAGCTAAAACTTGGAATAATTTGAGAGACTAGAACTCTTATTTTTGTATAGAAAAATAAAAAAAGTGGGATAATTTGTACAATTATCCCAATTCTAGTTTTGTTAAAGTTCTGCTTGACTAACACTGTAAAATTTTATTCTAGTTTTAGTTCTATGTGACTAACACCTTAAAATTTTGCTCTAGGTTTAGTTCTATGTGACTAACACCTTAAAATTTTATCCCACTGATTATCCCAGTTCTAATTTTAAGTTCTAGGTGACTAACCCCCCCTAAGCGTACAGTACCCACTTGGTGGGTCGGCTATTGCATACGTGTTAACCATCCAACGGATATTCCTCGCCATGGTTACATCCCAGCCTTTTATTATGTTATTATTATTCGCCCTATCCTTTTCCTTCCCCAATCTCTCTCTCTCTCTCTCTCCCCTCGATCCATCCTTTCGGCTATCATCGTCTCCATTTTCTAGGGTTAGGGCAAGGGTTCTCGCTTCAGTTCCCTTTCCCTGCAGTTAGGGTTTTTCATCGATCTGATCGATCTCAGCAGCAATGGGGAAACCGAGGAGGAGGAGCAAGGGAAAGAACGCCGTGGCGGCGGCGACCACGCCAACGGATCTCTCGCGGCGGCATATGATGGACGAATCGTCTACCGACTCCCTCTTGAATCTGATTCGCGCCTCGCAGCATAAATCAGAATAGAGAAGGAAAAAAAATAATTAACACACAAAAAGTACTGGGCGGAGCGGGGGCGGCATGAAGTGTCGGCCGGCGTAAGTTCCGCCACGCCGCATGCCTCCTTCCGAGCAACGTTAACAGTGAACGGAAGAAGGCGGAAAAGAGCTCGGGGTTTATATTTATGTGTAATTCGAAGACGAAACCGGAGTGCTATAGGCATAGGGTCTTCGGGTTGCCCAAGGGGAAGGCCGAGGTCGTGGAGAAGATCAAGCCGGGGACGAGACTTTTTCTTTATGATTTTGATCTCAAGCTCATGTATGGGGTTTATCGGGCTTCGTCTCAGGGCGGGATGAATTTGGTTCGGGATGCATTTCGAGGGGCTTTCCCTGCTCAGGTATTGATATTATCTTTGATAGGTTTTTGGATTGGTTTCCTATGAATTATGCTGTGGATGTGATAGTTGTTGTTATTACTTATTACTTCAGAAATGATAATCCCTAAATCACACTAGACATGTCGGCTGACATTTAAAACCTTGGTTATTACTTCAGAAATGATAATCCCTAAATCACACTATATTGCACGCTAAACAAAATGAAATAGATAAATGCTAATCTTTATCAAGTAATTTCCATAATTGACTAGACTTGGTAGACCAGAGAAATAGTAATGTAAGTAAATTTCACAATATCCTCCAATAATAATCTGGGTAATTTCATGTTAAACAGTAACGCTGTTAGGGGGATTTAGTGGGAAAAGTTAAAACATATAATGGGGTTATTTGGGACACTTTATTTTTAGGATTACGTGGGAGAATTTTTGGGTGTTTAATGAAAAAAAAGTTCAGGGTTTCGTGGATAGCTCCCAAAGTATTGTGGGGGTGTGTTTGTGTGTGCATGAAATTTCTATTGAATAGTTTTGATAATGGAGTAAACTTAATAAAATAAAGCAATATAAGTATATAGTTATTGCCAATCTCTATTGATTAATCTCAATAATTATATCATGCTTTGCTCTGCCACGTTAGTTTTTGTGATAATTTGATGAAAGAAATGGATCTAGAGACTGAAGATGAGGTTTTCTATGTAGTTAAAAAATTAAAAACTCCAATTCAGTATAAGTAGCAAGATTATCTCTGTCAATGAGCCTGAAGCAACAGATCCAGTTAGATAAGATTCTTTAAGCTTCTTGTTTATGTTGGGTTTTTTTTAGTATATACCCCTTAAATTATAGATTTTTTTTTTAAATTATAGATATTTTTTATTTTATCCTTCAAATAGTTGTAATAGCTAATTGGCCCCTCATATCATAATCATCTATCGATCTTACTCCGTCTTAAAATTGAGATAATTTCTAACAATCTCTAGATGTAGTTATCTTTTTACCCTATATGAGATGGCAAAGATGAATCTCCTTTACTCATTATGTCAACCAATCTCCTTTACTGTCCCTTAACGTTCCTTCCCTCTCCCTCCCTCTGACGTATTACAATTGCAATATGAAGCTGAGAAATCTTCTCTGAAGAATTTGTTTCTACAATCAACACATTTTCCTCATCCTCAACAGTCCTCTTCCAAAACCAATGGTGCCTCCAAACTTACATCCATGTCTCAATAGGCACTTCGATAGTCTGAGGCAATAAGACAGCAACTCAATAGGCACTTCGATAGTCTGAGGCAATAAGACAGCAACTCAATAGGCACTTCGATAGTCTGAGGCAATAAGACAGCAACTCAATAGGCACTTCGATAGTCTGAGGCAATAAGACAGCAACTCAATAGGCACTTCGATAGTCTGAGGCAATAAGACAGCAACTCAATAGGCACTTCGATAGTCTGAGGCAATCTGAAGCCGCACAACATTAAAGTTCAAGAACAATTTCGAAGCTGAATGCATGGCAATCAGAATCTTGCACGATAAAGCCGTAAAGGCTGCCAAGAATCCTTGATACTTCTTTGGTTTGAACACCCTGTGGCACTACGCCCGTGCTTCTTGAAGTTGAAGTTGAAGAATCGAGCCTTGAGCACCTACTTGATGTCGACGGGTTGATGGTGATGATGTTGTGACAGCAGCAGCAGCGCACACATCAGACACGGAACATTTTGCCAAGGGGATGACTGTGTTGGTGGTTTGAATTGTAGATGTCAAGAGATGCGGGAGAAGATGGTGGAAATGATGCCAAGCACTGGTCATGAGTGATCAGCCCATTCACCTAGAGAACAAGGAGCCATGGTAGTAGAGGCTTTTACTTGTTTTGAATGTAGGATATAAAGGAAAACGCTGGGGTCAATTTTGGACATGGTAAGAAGGTCAACGGGCTCGGGGCAATTTTAGACACAATGAGCAGGGCAAATTCATGGTGGGGGTTGTTGTGGTGAAAATGTGAAATAATGTACGCCTATGGGAATCAAGGCAAGCAATCAGTGTGGAGCTAGAATGAGAATATATCTACATGAGAAGAAAACAAAGATGGGAGAATATACAAAAACTCATCATTAGTATTCTAATATTATGATTAATTTTTTAAATTTAATTAATTAAACTACAGGGCAGACTAGTCATTTCTTGGATAAACTAATCGTTTTAATAGAATATTCCGTTTTTATTCCATAGTGGTTAATATGAGGGGCAAAATTGAGGTATGACTACAATTTGAGGGTAATTTAGAGAATATAATGATTAGGGGGAAAATTAAAAAATATTTATAATTTGAGGGGTGTATATCTGAAAGGCCTTCTTCATTTAGAATTATATTTAGGGTACTAGTTTTGTTGGGAAGTATTGAACGTTGACTGTGTGTATGTGGCATTACTTGATGGGCTTTTAACTTTAACTAGTTGTAGGGTATAGTGATGTTCTCCATACTAAAAGTCTACCATGTCCATCCTTATGTATGAGCCTGCTTCAATTTACTTAAAAGGGCGCACTTAGCCACTTAGGTAAAGTTGGACATTTTACTTGCATATTTTATTATATTTTGCTTTATATGTTCTTATTCTAATGTGAAGCACTGTACATATATGATATATCATTAGTTACTGTGCTCAAATATCATATGTTTGCTGGCCAATGTCATATATGTTTTTGGTATGTGGATGTTTTTGCTTGTACATAACTAGTACATGTTTGTGCCACCTATCCAAGTGGCCTTGGCAAGCTGGGGATGTTTTTGTACATGTTTGTGCCACCTCTCCAAGTGGCCTTGGCAAGCTGGGGATACTTTTATTAATTGTTTAAATTTACTCTTTAAATTTATACTTCTAAAGTTCTAAGTATTAATATGTTAATCAATTTACATGTGAATTGATGACATAAGACATGCATCACAGTCCACCTTTGAAGACTGTGTCTTGCCCTATTATCGGCCTTTTATCTTACTGTCATTTTTTGTTTGTAGCTCAGTAGCTTTACTCTTTTCATAGATTTAGGAGAAATTAAATGCAAAATCCATTACTTGAACAAGGATATTATGTTTTGTACATCATAGTTTCCTTTGAAAATTGTGCCTTGCTGCCCTATTATTAGCTTTTTTGTTTGATCGCCGTTCTTCATCTGTAGTCTAATAGCTCTACTCTTCACAGATTAGGAGAACATTAGATGGATATTATATTTTGTACTAATACTTGCTTGAAGTATGTTGGTCCGTGGCAGTTTTAAATCTCTTTACCTGTTAGTTTTTTGAATTGCCATACTCGAGTTGTAGCGTACAGTATATGAAGTAATGCACAAACATTCACCCCACCGATTAGACATCAAACCTATATGGTACATGACTTGCTGTTCATATGCTCATAAATATCTTCTTGATGGAATAATTTCATGCAGATATGGTTAGGCTGATAAAAGAAAGCCTTGTTTCTTTTTCTAAGTTGTATGCACTTTGCGGATTTTCCTTTTCATTTTCAGTGTTTAAAATTGTTTATCTCAAGCTTAGCAGTTCTTACCTGTGTACCAATATGTATCTTCCAGGTGAAATTTAAGATAGATAAAGATTGCCTACCTCTGCCTGAGAGTACTTTCAAACAGGCTATATTGGAAAATTATGACTCAAAGAACAAATTTCAACCAAGTCTCAGTTCCAAACAGGTAAAGTTTGATACTAACTTTTTTTAATGTTATACTAGGGATTGAAGAAAAAAAATCTTTGTATGTTCAATCTACTGCTTTTAATTTTGAAAAGTCTTGATAATTTTATGGATTTTAATATACCAAGGAAGCACAGAAATTTGTAAGAAATTTTATTTAGAAATTGAAGTTGCAATTTTTTTAAAGAAATGAAAACACACTGTGTTGTCTTTAATTTTATGATGACCTTATTTGAAAAGTCTCAATTTTATTATTTTTCTAAGATTAATTTGGAGAAACTTCTTTCCAGCTAAGGAATTTGGTAAAGCTTCAGTTATCCTCTGCTTATCCTTCTATCTATATGATGTTCCGAATGCTTATATATTTGACTGTAGTTATTAAATGTGATAAAATGATTTTTTTTGGTTTTTTTTCCAGGTCCACAAGTTGCTAGGATTATTTCAGCCTATTACTGGAGCACCTCAGCCTGCACCTCAATTTGTGGAGAACAAACATGCTGCTCCCCCTACTCATTTGCCTCCTACAGACCCATATAGACGGGCACATATTCCACCTGCTTATTTACGCCCATCTGAGGATTTGTACAGACCATCTGCACATCAGGCTCCATCTCAACTTCCACCCGAGGACCCATATAGGCAATATGCTTATCAGCCCCCCTCTCATTTGCCTCCACCTGAAGATCCATATAGAATATCTCTGCATCAGGCTTCCTCTCATTTGCCTCCATATCAGGCTTCCTCTCATTTGGCGCCTGCTCATTTGCCACCTTCTGAGGACCCATATCTTGGCCGTGTTCCTGCAGCAGATTCCCATTTCATTACTGCACATGCCCCCCAAACTTCCAGTAGTGTTTACTATCCAGCAACGCATTATACCCTTGCCCCCCAGTCTGTGGCCCAACCTACTGATGCATATTATCCTCCTAGTGCTATTTACCGTCCACCACTGGAAACTGCAAATGCATACTACCTGGAGAACCCAATTCCAGCTGACCAGTAAGTAACTTGTTACAATTGTGTAGACATCTTTTCCTATGTAGTTACTTCTTTTTGAACAAGTGATTTTATGCTCGCTTATTAATTCAACGTTGCTGGTAGAGTAGTAGATCAAACATCAAAGGCCACGATATAAGGTTTTCGTTTTCAAAATAAATATACAAGAACATTGCATTTGATTTATTCTAGGTTTGTGGCATGAAGTTGGTTAAAAGTTTCATTGTCATAAATCAGGTTTACTTGGATCCTCTAAATTCCTCTTGCAATGTTTACTTTTCTTCTTGTGAACTCATTTCACTATTAGTTTCTTTAGACATATTGTTAAAAAGATTTTTATTTCGTGTCCCTTTTCTGTTATCTACTGAAATTTGCACTTATCAGTTATTCCTTAATCTTAATAGACGTTCTTTAGCTATCACTTAGCCTATCTTTATACAAAAGATGCATCAACTCACTGGATGAATTGAATTAACGGTAACTACTTAGGATGCATGTTGACATTGTTGCACAATAAGGTTCACTAACACAAAATACACATGAGATACTAGGATTTCACAGGATGGTTGAGCACAATGATGAATGTATTAAATGTCTCACGGCCGGGGCTGCAAAAAAATATCTGTATCTGTTAGAATACAGATATTGTTACTAAATATCTATATCCGATAGGATGTCTTACTGACATGGATATGTTGTGAAAGATCCATATATATTTCCAAAATTATTTGAATGAGTTGGTCATACAGTTGCAATTGTTTTAATCTTAGATTAACCGCTTTGAGGTTAATTTTGATGATCAAGAGATCTAATCTTAGCTTTTCAGATGTAATGAACATATTAATGAACTCATTTGTATCATATGAATTATTATTTTTTTCAATATTATCTAGTTTTCTCATATATGTTTTGTATCCGCATGTATATATGCATATATATACATATCCATATCCGTATCTAATTTTAGCGTATATGGATTTGAGGTTTCCTTACCAAGGCATATCCATATTTGTATCCGTATCTGTGACTGGTAAACGGAGGCACATACGGTAAGGTATCATATCCGAGCCGTGCCTGAACTGTTTGCATCCCTACTCACAACTATCATGAAGTTACATAGGAAACATCAATACCGTGTCTGTTAAGAGTGATTTGCAACTTGTAAACCAAACCTTAACATCCATTAATTCTTGTACTATAACTATTAATGCACGGATTTCCTAGTGTTCTCCTGTTTCTGATAGTAGTCTAGTTTAACTTGTTTAAAAATTAAAGACCGCAAGCCAAACATATGATAGAATCAGAATTTCACCATGACTCATTTGTAATATTTGTTTTTGACTAAGTCAGCCTTCACATGGATTATAAATCTTCTTAAATCAATGTGATTCATTTCTTTTAACAATATCTTACTTACAGCTGAAGTTTGCATAACTTGTTCAAGGTTCTTGATGGCCCATCAAAATAGCCAACGTTTGATTCCTAGTGTTCTCCTGTTTCTGATAGTAGTCTAGTTTAACTTGTTTAAAAATTGAAGACCGCAAGCCAAACATATAATAGAATCAGAATTTCACCATGTCTCATTTGTAATATTTGTTTTCGACTAAGCCAGCCTTCATATGGATTATAAATCTTATTAAATCAATGTGATTCATTTCTTTTAACAATATCTTACTTACAGCTGAAGTTTGCATAACTTGTTCAAGGTTCTTGATAACCCATCAAAATAGCCAACGTTTGATTCCTTTTTCTTGTAACGTAAAAGAAAAGGCATTTATTTTGTAAAGCTTTCCAGTTGTCATAATCACAAACTAATAGATCTAAGGAGCATCATTTGTCTGTAAATTAGCTATTTTGTAATCAAAATACAGTGATCAAAGGGTGCAACTGAAGTGATCTCCTGTCAAACAGAAGAAACTTTTAGAAATAAAGGATATCTACAAGCATCTCCTTACTTAGTTCTATCCTAGAATCAAATGAAGGATTAAGACTCTGGGTGTCAAAACAAGACTTCTGTTCATTCATTAACATGCTCTATTTTCCTTGCAAAATATGAAAAATGTTGCTCAAGAATCAGGACCTTGTTTCTACTTCAACATTCTACATGAAAATTTGATGTGTAGCTAGCATACGATCACCTCCCTTTATGTTTTGCATGCTGTAGCTTGATCCGTCCAATGCCCATGTTTTGACTAGCCAGAAACTGTCTATAACAACTCTTAATATGAAATCTTAATGAATTAATCATCGCCAATGTCTAGGGCTAATATGAGCGAAAATTAAGAAGATCGTTATGTTTGATGCATGCCTTTTGAAACATGTCTAATCATCTTTTGCTAATTTATTTGAGAAATTAAATTGCGGATAATTAACGATTAATGAATACCAGTTCCTTTCATTTTTGTCACTTACTTTTCATGTCCAATGTAGAGTTAATAGACTATCAAACATTATTATTTATTTCATAGATCAAATTGTGTTGATCTGAAATGGTTCCAATTGCTTTTAGGAAATATTTTGCATTTTACTAATTTGTCTGTATCTTTTTCATCAGTCTTGCCTATAGAGCACCCCCTGAGCCTGCTGGGTATTATGTGCCGGGGCACAGTACGTACGTTCAGCCGAGTCAGCCATTGGCAACTGGTCCTGTTTCATCTCTCTATTCGTTTGCTGGTGCCGCCCCAGCACAACGCTGATGTGCTTTTATGTGTTCCGATTCCTTCAAACTTAGTTTGTACTCTGCTGTTTCTCTGCCTAGAACATGAAACCAACTTTGTCTTTCTTATATTTTTAGTTTATTGGACGAAGTACAGTGCATCATGTTAGCCAGAATTTCATGTTTCTCTGCCTAGAACATGAAACCAACTTTGTTTTTCTTATATTTTTAGTTTATTGGACGAAGTGCAGCGCATCATGTTAGCCGTAAAATCATCTTGTGCTCTTGTTGCAGGCTTCTAACTTTATAAAATTCTGCATGTATTTGCACATCGCCATCAAATTCTTTCATCATTCAACTGTAACAAGCAAATCCGAAGGATAAGGTATCTATGGGGAATCCTTGCCATCAGATGCATTATTTCCATTTAAGAACATAGAATGGAGCTATTTACTTATTGACCACATGTTCCAAATTGTAGAGTAAATTCCCAGTCGTTTATGTTTAAAATACAGTGCTTCAGGTACCGATAAGGTAGTTGGAAGTGCTGCGTGTTGTCGTGCACTACCACCGAGTTCTGTGTCTATAACTGTGACTGAGCAAGTGGATTGGATGTTTATTTTCCAAGTGGATTTGAGTTTTCTGCTGTAGTATTCTCATGCTATTTACTCAAATGTTTGGTTGAAATATCTAAAGGGAGTGCGTCACATCAGCCCTTTTCACTATGTGAAGCACTTGTGGTCGATGAACACTTTTGTCGATACATAACCGAGCAAGATAAATTAACATATACAGTATCAATTTATTCATATGAGCCGGGTCCTATTTTTTCATTTTTATATATTCCGATCTTTTTTAATTTTTCGATCATCTTCACCATTCGAGATCTTAGTCAACCTAGTTTCTATATCAAATCCAACTCATTCTGAGATCTCTCTTATCATGTTCTGTAACTGTAAGGATTGAAAATGGGTGAACTCTAAAAGGATTGAAAATGGGTGAACTCTAACTCGATCTTGCCTAATACAAGCTCTTGGATAGCTTACGTGCAAATGTAGATGGCTCGAGATCTTATACTTAATATTTCTATTCTTCAAGCCGACATGTTACTTAACGTTGTACCTAAAGCTGTACCTAAATCACGCAAATTAATTTTATTTATATTTATTCTGACCTTTATTAAATACATATTCTTCTCTACACCGGATTGCTTTTGTCGCGTGAAAGGTTAGTAGCAAAGACGTGAAAAACGTACGAACTCTCCCCGACATCTTCGAACAATGAAAGCCACTACTTTCAACAGCACAAAAGACTCAACACATTTCCACACCAAAAGTCGGGAGAACTGACCTACTCATAGACCAAACAAACTAACTTCCTCAGAGACTCCCCCCTACATAAAACCTCTCACAAATATCATTTGGACAAATTTTCAATTTAGCCCAATTCCGAAACTTATTCTCAAAAAAAAAACCTATTTGAAAAATATTTACCAAATTCGATCCAGTTTCAGCCAACTGGCTGAAACTAGGTCGAATTTGGTGAAAAAAGCTACAAAACTTCACGGGACTTTAAGTCCCGTGAAGTTTTGTAATTATTTTCACCAAATTCGGCCCAGTTTCAGCCAGGGTCGAATTTGGTATATAATTTCTAAATAGGTCGTTTTTGAGATTAAGTTTTTAAACAGGTTGTTTTCGAAAATTTGTCCATATCATTAACTAGCACAACCTTCACAAAATATCACTAACTAGCACCACAAAACGGTAAATCCCTCATCACTCAAATGTTTTTTTTATTTTTTTTGGTTAAAAATGATGCCATATCTCGTATTCAGCAGGGAAGACGAAAGGTCACAGAGCTGATTATACACTCAACAACGTCGGAAAAAAGTGACGAAAAGCGCCGCCAAAATGATTTTTAAAGCGGTAGCGGTCCCTAGCTACCGCGCTTTCATCGTTTTCCTTAGCAAATTCAGTTGAAGCTCTCTTGTCGCTATGACCTCCTCGACAAAATTTTCCTTAGCAAAACCATCTCCATGCGAATTAGAGGAAAAAAAAAAGACTTGTAACCATAAGACCTGTATTTAAAAATTTTAATAGGATTTGCATTGTTTTTTTGGCCTTTTTTTTCGCTTTAAATCGCTTAAGCCCCCAACAAGCCAAAGCGGTGCCTCACCGCTTCACTATATTTTTTGCTTTTTCAGAACCTTAATATCCAAGTTTTGGAAGATTGATTTTCTTGAGGTTGAGGAGTTTTCATCTTTTTTATCAGTGTGGGCTTGTACATGACACATTAGACTTGCTGCTTGGAGGAGGAGGTGCAGGCTGGGGTGATGGAGGAGTGCAGGCGGTGGGGGTGAGGGGCGGAGCAGGCTGTTGCAGGGGTGAGGCGGCGGAGATCTGAGGGCGGCTGAGAACGAGAGAAGAGAGGGGCTGGCTGCGGGCGGAGCTCAGGGAGGCGGTGAGGACGAGGAGGAGGCTGTGGGGGCAGGAGACGACGGCCGGCCAAGGGAGAGGAGGAGAAGGGGGTAGGCGGCGGTAGGATGAAAAGAGATATATATTAATATATTATTATATATATATAATATATAATTAATATATATAATATATATATATATATAGAGAGAGAGGAGAGAGAGAGAAATATGAGTAGATGCTTGTACCAAGCACAAATTTTGTGGCTTGATAGTGATGTGTCACATCCCCTCCACTCATTCAAATATGGACACATTCACATGGGTAGTGAGTGGATGAGGATGTGACACATCACTACCAAGCACAAAAATTTGTGCTTGGTACCAGCATACCCATTTTCTCTCTCTCTCTCTCTCTCTCTCTCTTATATATATATATATAGTATATATATATATAATATAATATATATATATTATATCATACTCCCCTTTAAAAGCACGACGTTCGGAAAATCTTTTTAGCACAAATATCCCCTTTATTAGTTTGAACTACCTTATCTATAATCAAATTCTAATTTCAATGTGATATTTACCTTCACTATTTTGAATATTTTATTTATATCTTAATCTATTTAATCATAATCATATCTTATCCTAATCCTATGTGAACCATGTTAGCTTACAATTTAAAAAACTAAATATTAATAAAATATATAAAACATAAAAATGATATTATGTTGTTAAGATAAAGAAATTACAAGTAGATAAATATTATAATCATGAAGTATTGCAAAAAATAAAAGTTTTAAAAATTGCAGAAAAGACCCTAAAAACTTTAAAATTATAAAACTCATCCAATGTCCTCAAACTTAAAATAAAAAAACATGAAATTAAAAAATTAACATCAGTTTTGCAAAAATTTAAATTTTACAGTTAACACTCTCAATTCTCAAAATTATAGAAACACCCTCAAAAATTTTAAATTAACAGACAAGCACATTAAAATTCTAAATTTTAAAACTTACAAACAAGTACAGATGAATTCAAGAGATTACATGTACACCTAAAATTTTTGACATTATAATTTAAGATTTTTTTAATTAACACCTCAATATCTCAAAATATAGAAACAGCACTTCAAAGTTAAATTATAAAACAGCCACCCAAAGATTCTAAAATTTGTAAATAAAATAAAGATGAATTCAAGATATTACGCTATAACCTAAAAAATATAAAATTGTGCAAATTAACCAGCTCAAATTTATAAAACTCCTTCAAAATTTAAAAAATTCGTTAAAAAAAACTCATAAAATTTTCAAAATTTTACATAGCAAATCAAAAATGTCGTCTGATTGGTAGAACACGTTAAAATTTAATATTTTTCAAAATTAATCAGTATAGTTTAATAATTACAAAACACCCTCAAAATTTAGAGTTGACAAGACAATATCTAACATTGAAAAAATTACCACCAATCATGAAAACATACGAATATACAACTAGCCAACTCAAAGTAATTTTTTTAAAACTCTTCAATATTATTAAAAATTAATAATCACACCTCAAAGTTCAAAACCACAAAATGGGCTAAAATTTAAAAAATTGGCAAAGGAAGTGATAATTGTTTGGTATTTTTCATATATATATATATATATATATATATATATATATATATATATTAAAATTTCTAATTTAGGGATTTACTATCCATTTTCAGCATCTAAGAATAGTCTAAGTTGATACTGGTAAACAAAAACAATAAGAATTGATTAAAAACATCCGGTTAATGGATAAAATTTTTAAAAATATTATAGATTAAAAATTATCGGCACTATATAAATTAAAGTAATTTCATATAATTTTAGTAATAAGTTGGGGTAGCCAAAATACATTCGTAACATTAATTGATAGATGTTTAAATCCATAGAAATGATAAAACACTATAATATTATACCTTAGCATTAATTGATTTTAATTTAGAAACTTTAATCTTTGACGTTAATAATATTTATAGGGTAAAAGAATACAAGGAATTACATATGGAGAAACTATTAGAATATTTAGAGATAACTTTAAAAGAATTGAGTTATTTCCATTGCAAATGGGAAAGTGATGGAAATAAATCTAAAATTCAGAAAACGTCAATGAATCACTTGAATTGGCATTAACATAAGACATATCTATTAATGAAGCACTGAATGAGTTACATTAAAAAATAATTTAATAACTTTATCCTAATCAAAGAAAAAATCTCCATGGAAGACATAAGAAAAATTAGTAAGTATTCATAAATTCCATACTGTGTTCTTCAAATTAAATATTAATATTATAATCTAAGAGAAATTGGTAATGAATAATGCAGGTATTTAGTTTAGATCTTTATGGAAAATGACAGGGATAGAGCAAAGGTAATATTATTGAAATAACAGAAATTCTTATTGGATGCACATCAGAAGAATTCATTTTAGAGGAAAATAAAGAGATAGCTTCTAATTTATTTAAGTAATAAATTAGGAACACAAAGAATTTTATATATATGAAATTAATATTTATTCTCATTGAAATAGAAAAAAAATCAAAGTCTATATTTTGAGCAGTTTGTGTTGAACATCATAAGTACATTTAACTTCTTTGTAAAGTTAAATGAGATGATAAAAAATTAACGAGCCTAGGAAAGATAATAGCATAAAAATACAAAATTAGCCTGATGTCACAATTGATGTAGATGATGAAGACAATACTTTAGAATTATTTGAGAAATGATAAATGATAAACCTGAAGAAGGATTGATCTTAACTCAATAAAAAATAAAATAGAAGAAATAAAAACAATATTTTATGAATATTTTATAGAATAGTTTAATTATTTTGAGTGAAATTAGGAATCTTTAGAAGGGAGTTTCATAAATTTTTTTCAGTACTTTTATATTCTTATATGGATGTTTTTATCATATAAAAGTATACTAGAGTTAGTATTAATCTTTAATTTATATTTTTTT